GTTCGAATCCTGCCGACAACGAAATATGTTTTTGTCTTTATCACACCAGTTGCTCTGATTACAAATCACAATTATACAAATAGATTTCATACGATGTGAATAACGGATAAACGTAACTTTCAGTTACGTTTTATATTATATTCATCACAGTAAATTAAATAATACCCGTCTGGCAAACAAAACGTCTTTCGATATCAAAGTGATTGTAGCTGCACACAACAAACAAAAGTTACACGTATATTCCTTCTATCTATTGCTAGAATTGCATTTACCTGAGGGATGGTGACACTACTGTAATTCATACATTTCACCACAAGAGGGGACTGATTGTACGTTGGGGACATTATCTCTGTGCAGTCCATTTATGGAGTTTATGGAGAGTCTGTAATTGGGCAGAGACTGACTATGTAACATTGTGCAAGTCACTGAAATCACTGTGCGACACGTAGGCTAAAGAACACAGTGACTAAAACGGAGGTTTGAACTAGATAAACAAGTTTCATACATCTTTCCATCCTAAAAAACAACAAAACACATCGTTTTTTCAATTGAGCAACAGAAAAAAACAAGATATACTCCAATGTTGAACCCTAGATGAACACCAAAAGGCATGAAAGATAGCACTTACAGATTTCCAGGACAACGTTGATTGATGTCAACTTAGGACTTTGGTTTAGCACCACAAATATACTAATAATACTATAATAATACATCCTCTCCATAATCTAAACAATACTTTATTGTTTGTCTGTTTGAAAGATAGCAAACACCACAGTGTCTGAGCCAAAGAGTATCGATGAAAAATAAGCTCATGCTGGAGGGATTGATGGGAAGAGTTTGTTCCAGGTATTCATGGAAATGTTTGAGGAGAAAGTTCATATGTTGTGTAAATAAAGAATAACTTACAAGAATTTTTTGAGTGAATGAAGTCATAATATTACGAGAATAAAGTCGTAATAATACGAGAATAATGTAATCGTTTTAATGAGAAAAAAGCTTCCATAGAGTTATCAAGATCTGACCAGCTCAACCAAACAGCAGCTTTTCTCCTTAAACAGTTTTGCTGGCTGACAGTTCTCATAGAATTACTACTTTATTCTCGCAATATTATTACTTTGTTCTCGTATTGTTACGACTTTATTCTCATAATATTATAATTTTATTCTCGCAATATTATGACTTTATTCTCATAATATTACGACTTTATTCTGGTATTGTTACGACTTTATTCTCGCAATATTACGACTTT